CTTATGGAAATGTTTATGGAAGACATGCGCGCGCAAACTGCGCAAAGGAAAAGGGGTAGGGGTGGAGTTCGGGTACAGCTTGAGAAATTAATGTCACATGACAGAACCCGCGCCCTAGTCAAAAGCAGCAGCAGCGTCAGCAGCACCGTGGGTGAAGTGCAGTCAAATAGATAAATAGGGGCTGATGCCTAATGGGTGGGTGGGTGCTGGAACGGAGGGTAAGGATACGGGGACAATGTTTAGTGCATTTTTTCAGCAGCAGGGCGCAGGGCAGAGAACCTTCCTCGACGACCAACATTGACTCTAACAAATTGAAAATCATTGAACATCGTCACATGAGTAAACGTAAAATGAGGCACCAACCCAAGCCATAGGTCAAGGGGAGTGAAGGCGGCTGAGAAAGTGACATCCTGAAAAATATTGCAGCGTACATCCAAGTAAATTGCAATTAACTTGGGCCAGGGTCCCTGCGGGCTTTGGCTAACCTCAGGCCGACGTGCACACGGCAAAACTCTTGCTGACAAAGTGTGCCAATATGCCACAAAGTATGCAACAATTTTCTGTGCAAATACTTTGTGCATCGCCTGTCCGCCCGCCTGCTTGTGTGTGCGCACAATAAACGGCACATAAATGTTGCATACATATGTCGAATTGCTTCCATTTTATATGCTTGCTATTTGAAATACATTACCCGGGCTGTTTTAATGGATGTCAATCCACTTCAGCGTTGCCAAATTTTGGCCTCGTGGCTTTTGTGTTTGTCGTCGTTGTTGTCTGGATATGGCGTTCATGCATTCCTATCCTGATATTATGCCCAGAGTGGCCAAGAATATCCCAAAATTCAGAAAAGAGTATAATTTCATAAACGGTTTTTAAACGTTTTTGGCTTTCACTTCTATCTATGTGGGCAAGCCCATCGGTGAAATACCCAGAAAAAGTCCTCGCTAACAGCAGAAGCAAGAAGAAGAGCAGTTTGACTCTGGATTGACCAATTTAGATTAAGCAGAGGTAGGGACTTAAGAGAGTCAACATATGTACATGCAGGCGAGTACCGAGTTTGGTCAATGTAGCCTCAGATGTTTCAAAAATCCAAGCGAATATTTACTTGTAGATGTTTAGATCGATTTCTCTTGTCATGCAAATTAAGAACATATACACTCATTTTATGGGTTTGGGATATCACTCCTTCTCCTTGTTACATATTTTGTACAAACCTAACAAATCCTTTTTAGCCTTGCCGATACAGGAAATGAAATATTTGTATACTCTGTACATGAAATTTACAAGAGTATATTTGGTTTGCGGGAGTTGAGAAATGGAAATGAAGGAGGCCTGGCAGACCCCACAAAGTGTATTTCTATAATTATTCTAAACCAACGGTGGGCACGAAATTTAAAATCGGGAGTTCTACAACAACATCTACAACAAAAATCATCGGTAGAGTTCTGAGGAAATACTACCGAAAATCGAACAACAACACACGCACTACGTGTATTTTGTTTGTTGCATCAATCTGCTTGTGGCTGGCGACAACTGCATGTATTTTGTTTTTATACCCTGTACCCGTAGGGTAAAAAGGGTATATTAGGTTTGTGCAAAGTATGTAACATACAGAAGGAAGCATCTCCGACCCCATAAAGTATATATATTCTTGATCAGCATGACGAGAGAAATCGATCTAGACATGTCCGTCCGTCTGTCCGTCCGTCTGTCCGTCTGGATGAACGCAAGGATCTCAGAAACTATAAAAGCTAGAATAACCAAAGTTGGCATCCAGATTCTCCTAGGTCCGAGTAAGGACGAGTTTATTTTTTTTTTTTTTAATTTTCCCCCCCTTCCCCCGCTGCAGAATTTCGTCAATAGCGTCCACATTTCAAATGCTACCTAAACCAAACTTTGCACACATAATTTATATATATTTGTCTACTGTTGTTTTATTCAATTCGGTCAATTCTAAGAAAAGTTATTAGCGAAACAAATTCTCGCCAATACAACCCCCCAAACTGCAGCAACAAGTTCGCTCTTCTTCTTCCTCTTTTTGCTGCTGCTATGGGCACATATCAGTGACGGAAGTTTACCTGGGTACAGGGTATTACACTGTCGGGCTTGCTCGACTGTAGCGTTCTCTCTTGTTTATTTTAATGTCGGGACACCCGACTTTAGCTTTTGTACTTGTTTATCGGACGATTAACGTATAAATATAGTATATGTCATCAGAAGATCAATAGACTTTTGTTCGCTAGAACCAAAGCACTTTTTTTTACTCATACGGTACTTTAAAAGAGGATTCTTTAATTTGATGGAAAGACAAGATTTTAAGATGATTTACATCCTTTGGGTGCTTACTGAGACTACTCCATGAGTTGATGTGTGAGACCTCGTCGAGACCATTGTCGAGATGAGGATAATCCGATTTTTGTTGCAAACAAATAGTTCAACTGACCGTCATGACTAGTTTTTCTAAAGAAGAATTTTAGTTCATAAAAATTCGAAGTATTCCTGCACCTATCTCATCTTAAGGACAACCCCTCACAAGATTAGTTCTGGTATCCAACTTGGCATTGCAAATATCAGACTTGAACCGACAACTCTAGAATTGCTCACTCCCGAAATATAAAGAACAACCTTCTTGTACGTAGTAAGCAAATCGAACAATCGATATTATTACTAGTGATAAAGTGTGTTACGAATACTTCGATATGTACTTACGTGCATAAGTATATACTTTCAAGAGCCAAATTAAATTTAATTGTTGCGTATGCAAATATGTGGCGATACCCAACCAAAATAAAACCACGTGCTGAAATCGCTGCTTCACATTTAGCGCTTCATAAAGAAACTAAACTCCAATTTCCGGTGGCAACTCGCAGCACGAACATGCGCGCATTTCCAGCTCCAAGCCCAGACTACATAATCTAAAATAATTTGTGCCCAGTGGAAATGTACACCTATGCGGTTGCCGTCGCCATCGTTGCCGCAGCCATCGCCTCGCGTGTGAATTTTCCAGCAATTGCATGCGAGCAATTCCCCAAATGCTTAAACATTTTAAGCACGCTCCCGCACCCATTGCCAATGCCACCACCTCCGCCGCAAGGTGCCGATAAGTGGGCTGGGCACCGAAGTACTGTAACCACAGAGGGAGGACTTTGGGTAGTTGCGCCCGATACTACAGCCCTGCCCAGGGGTAGACTTTTTCTTGGACGAAGCTCAAGCAAATTACTCGGCGTGGTGTCACGCATATGCCCCATACGAGTGTGTGTGTGTTGTTTGTGTAGCCGCCACACTGCAAAATAGGCAGGCGCTGTGAATTTCAATTAAACAAGTCCAGCACTAAGAAAACGCCAGGCTAGTTTCAGGTCAGGCTCTTTTTAGTCACATCTTTGTCCGATTTTATTTCACTATACGTACAAGTATTTATCTGCATTGGCCTTCATCACATAAAAATATTTACCTATGTATTGAATTTCTCTCGGGTAGCGCGCTTCATTTAGATACATCCGTTCTTTTAAGGTGTCTTTAAAATTTGGATCGGTTTCGTATTGTTATTCACTCCCGATTTATTTTAGGATTAATTTTACTTTTTTTAAATGCTCTTAAAAACTGCAACGATTTGTTTTCGCAAATTTTTTATGCTTTTTGTGAAAAACAAAAGTGTGTAGCAGAAACTGAAACTCGTCCAAACTACTACCTCAGTCGTGCTGGAAGCGAATGAGTTAGGAATTACAGAGGTACAAAAAGGAAGCGGCGAGTAGTTGCACATTTTGACACTTTTTAGCCGCTGGCGAAGCTGTGTGCATTTTTACGTAAATATTTTTGTAAAATTGGGAGTCTGTACGAAGGTGCGCAGAGACAGGTAAATAAACTAGTACAGTGTCGTTGCCGTGGGTTCCCGTCTATCCCCCCTGTTGCCGATTAGACTAGAACTAAATCAAATCCAAACAAAAACAAACGGACATGCAAATTCAGTTGTTTCCAGTACGAGTCTGAATGTCTGAATGAGTGTGCGGCATTAACTTCATGAGTGATTAAGTTAGAGTGTTTGCAGAGTTTTTTGCGTAAACATGATGCGCTGTCGTGCATAAGTTTACCAAAAGTTGGTCGCTTCTGCTCACATGTGTGGACACTTTTAAACTTAATTAAATTGCTGCAACCCGAGCTGCTGTGCATATATGTATATATGTATATAGTGGATGTGCTAGGTCTCTCCAACAGTTGGTGGTGCGACTAAATTCACAATATTCGCTGTTCACAATTTTCCAAGTGCCTTTTAGTTAAAATCTTGACAGTACAAGTGGTTTTCTTCACTAGTTCCGCCAATCTAGCTACAGTATTTACATTGTCTATTCAAAAGGGTAAAATGGTGCGAACGCATTCGAATATACATACGTACCATTTAGATGGGGACATTGTAGACCAGACCCTACAAATTTTTCGACATATTCTCGATTCTCTTGGATTCCACATTTATTCGCCTCTATACAGGTTGTGGTTTGTGTTTGCCTGCGTGGCGTTATTCCATGACATAAGCATACACGTACTATACTCTTCAACTTTTGGTACTCCATTGTTTCTTACTACACGTAACATGCAACAACAAGAATAAAATGAAAGACTAATCATTATTTTATATTTCTTAATTTTAAGTTTTAATTTATTTGTTTTTCTAATCAAAAGCTTACGTTTTTATTTTTTGTGCTCTGTTTCGTTTCATTTTACGTTTTCTCATTTATTTCTACCGATTAATTGTTGTTGCATGCAAATGAACGTAAATTAAACAACAAACCATTAACAAATCTTAATTGAAAACAAAAACAAATGAAACAATGCACGAAATGTAGTTGGTCTGTTGCCCATGCAACAGCAGCCGCAACACCAACAGCATCAACTACAACATGCTGCACCACAAGCACATCATCTACAACAACCACTACCACCACAACAACAACAACAACACCTCCATCATGCCCCAGCTCAAACGCACAATCTTTGTCAATTTAAAGAGCCACCGCTGCTGGGACCAGGAGCCGCTTTCCCACCATTTGGTGCTCCAGAGTATCATACCACCACGCCCGAAAACTGGAAAGGCGCCACAATTCACCCGACGGGCTTGATGAAGGAGCCGACTGGCGTGGTACCTGGCCGCAATGCTCCGGTTGCGTTCACCCCACAAGGGCAGGCGCAGGTGAGTAGACGTTCGACTTTGTTAGTTCTTTGCGAAATAAGAAGCGTGCCAACTCCGTAAGGGGATATACGTGTACAGTACACGGCTCAGTACACGCAACAAAGCCTGTGGCGTTGTAAATTAACTTCCATAAGTTTGTATTGAAATAAATGTATTTTAATTTCCAAAAAATAAAAACCGGCGTGCTGCTAATTTTAATGAAGCTATCATCGCCTTTGTCTAACATAATTTTTTCCTTTTGTAAACAGGGCGCAGTGATGATGGTCTACGGCCTGGACCACGACACTTCCAACACAGACAAGCTTTTCAATCTGGTTTGTCTGTACGGCAACGTTGCACGGGTAAGCGGCCATATTCTCTAATTGTGAAAATGATCTAATTCTCTATGTTTACAAATACGTATATATGTATGCATAAATCGCATGCTGTGCCAGCGGCAGCAACTGATAACTGATAGAGAAGGGGTAGGAAGCATGCATGACTCATGGCTGTTCAGATTTTTAAAACGAATTACAATGTGTAGCACATGTTTGTGGGAAAACCGCAAGATATTTGTGTTTTTAAAGGAAAAGGGCTTGAATAGAAAAGAAGCATAATAAAATAAAAACGGGCTCGCATTTAGATAAAGCGTTTTAGATAAATAAAATTGTGTGTGTGACTGGTAATTTGAGGGTAACGCTCCAAGTAGCAATCAGTGCAGCCTCATCAGCTTTATGACCAGTCCGTCGACTCTTCTCCAGCACACTTGTGCACAAAGATGTGAACGCAATTGATTTCATTTGGCTGTGGATAGCTTGATTGCGTTGTCTCTCTTTTTCTCTACTTTTCTGTCAGAAAAACTCTTTCTTTCTGTAGAGGAGCCGAATTAAGCGCAGAGCTCTCTGCTCAGCAGAAAATAAATCAAAACACACTCAAGCAGGGGGTCGCTCAAAAGGGTTACAAATGACAATTTCTATGGTACAGATATATAATTTAATTTTTTCTAAAAGCAATAGAAATATTTTGTATCGTTGTTGTGTTGTAGTTGCTGTTTACCAGCAAACGTGCAATGGGGAGTGCGCAAGATACGCGCAGGCCTGCAACCCACTAACACCATCCCCACCACCTACTCTACACAATACACACTAACAATGCAAACTGACATCAAAGTAGGGTGCTCCCTTAAATTGGTGTGTGTGTGCGGTTCTTTGAATATGGAATACATTGCGGGGTATTTTGTACCCTGTACCCTAAGAGTATAAGGGTGTACTAGATTGTGCGAATGTATGTAACACACAGAAGGACATATATATTCCTGATCAGGGTGACAAGGGTGACCAAACTTTGACTTACAAATCACAGTATATTAGCTTTTTATTTTACAGTAACGAAGCGTAGTAAGATTTATAAAACCATGATTAGACAGGCAGACAATTAGAAAATCTGGTGAACCGATAATTTGCTTGCCCATGACAAATGTATTAATATTTATTATATCTATGACCAGATATCTGTCAAATCTTTATTTTTATACACTGTACATGAAATGTACAAGAGTATATTAGGTTTGCGGGAGCTGAAAAATGTAACAGGCAGAAGGAGGCGTGGCAGACCCCACAAAGTATATATATTCTTGATCAGCATGACGAGACGAGTCGATCTAGCCCTGTCTGTCTGTCTGTCCGTCTGTCCGTCCGTATGAACACCTGGATCTCAGAGACTATAAGAGATAGAGACACCAAATTTTGCACAAAGATGCGTTATGTGTGTATTCTATACGAGTTTGTTTTATTTTTTTGATTTTCCCCCCCCACTTCCGCCCTATGGGGGTTTTCCCGATTTTCCATTCGTATAATCGCCTATATCTCGGAGACTGTAAGACCTAGGGACACCAAATTTTAGTCCCAGATGCCTTATGTGAATACGCAGAAAATGTATATTTTGGAATTCCCCTCCCTCCCCCCTCTACCCCGCAAATCGTAACTCCCGTAATTCTTGGAATTTCGAACTAAAATTTTGGAAATACCCCCAGTTGGTTATTATGTGTCCGTATGCCGTATTCCGTATTCATTATGATAGACCGATTTAACAAGAAGTTATAGCCATAAATATATTTGCTGATGCAGCGCTGCCCGCGGCTGTTGTTGATGTTGCTGTTTGGTTGACTGCGAAAATGCTTACACAGACACGAATTGATGCGCATAGGCATACATACACTCACACAGACGCAATTGCTATGTAAATGTGCAATTATACGTGAGTTCGAATACCGAGAGAGGTAAAATCGATCAAATTTTTTTTTTATTTTCTTAATTTTTTTATTTTCTATAATTATTGTAAACATATGTACAGAGTATTTCAAAGTCGGGACACCCGACTTTAGCTTTTTTACTTGTTTTTTCTAGTATATATTTTTAATGTTTTCATACTGTCGGGCCGGTATAACCTAACCTACTTCTATTATATCGTAATAATGAACCTTCATAATGTACAGGTTTCATTTAAATCGGTACATACCTCTGCCATATGAACAATCGGACCCAAAATTTCTCTTAGTATCAAAGCAATTTCGCTATAATTTCACTATGTACAATACAAAGTGCCCAGTATTGGTACAATAAAGTTGGGTTAACTTTTAACTCGAAAAGCGCAGAGCTAAACTGCTAAACTGTGAATGATCCCAATGCCATTTATGCCAACACTTGAGTGCAATGTGGGGCAAGCTTACCAGCAACAACATAGCAACCGGGCGGGAAGCGTCAAACGCGTGTCATGGCGGTCGAGGAGTGCTTCCGAAGGAAGGGTGCTGGGAAGAAGTACAAAACGTATCATTCAAGGCAATGCGTTCTAGTTTGCAGTTAGATAGGCGAACAGTAGCTCAGATTTATTACAAACTTCCTGTCCAAGGCGGAAACTACTCATTAGCCATTAAAAATGGCTATACGCAAACATTATTCACTCACACTGAGCCGCGCACACCCACGCAAGCACCTATATTTTTCTCGCCGAATGCCTGAACATATATAACAAATTCAGTGCCAAGACTGTTGCCATGCCCACTAGTGTCCGTTTCGCCCACGTGGCCGAGCCAAGTCGGGTAACGAGAAGGGTGTAAAAGGTCCAGGATCCATCCTCGGCCTCATTGCCAATAGAAACGTGTGCGCGCGTGTGTATGCAAGTGTGCATCGTCCTATGGCCGACATCTTTGAATTGCGAATGAGAAATTGATGGCCTCTCAATCAAAGTGGTTCCGCTTAATAACCCCGTGAGGGCCCGCTACAATTTTAAAAGGCATGTTCTGTAAATTACAAGAAGTTCCACCCGCACGGCTCGAAAACGAAAGAATTAAATGTCAATAAGTCAAGCTAAACAGAGTTTGACATAAGCTGTGAAACAGTTTGATTAAGATGCGTGAAAAATGGGCCTGGGTTGACTGGAATAGTAGAGCGCTGCGCTACATTTTTCCATGACAAGCAGTTAAGTTACAAGGCCGTCGGAAATCAATGTACACTGTACATGTACAATCTACAGCTTTGTTTCTGCAATAAATTTTTCGAAATAAAGATCTTGCAATTCTTCCATATTTTTATATCGGAAGCCAGAACATCCCTCTAAAGGCCCACGGCACGGTTCACTGACAATCTAACGGTTGTAAAGTCGGGTGTCCCGACTTTAAAATACTCTGTACATAGAATAAGTAAATCTCAAAAGATGGAAAAACATTTTGAACCGATTTACAACCTAAATATGCATTTTTGTGCAAAGTTGGGGGGCCAACTTCTTTTGCCTGCATTACATTTTACCTCCTAAAACATGTATATATGTTTTATGTCTTATATCCTGATATCGTTAGTCTCTATGACTTCTGACCATTTCATTTTTACCAAAAGACTACTCAAGTGTAAAATTGTGAGGCTCACAGGATTTTCGACAAAGTACACCTAGCCCATGCTTAAACCTCGTGCTAAGCGAAATCGTGTTAAGCGAGACATTGACTCCATACAAAATAAGGGATAACGTTTTGATTTCGATATATGTATGCACAAAACAAGTATTGAATTTTAATTTCCGCTGTTGTCAAGGTCCAAGCATTTTATAAATTAACAAAAAGCTACTCCAGGTGTTGAATATTTATCATTAACAGATTAATCTTATCAAAAAGGAAAATATTTTGAAGCATAACAAATGTTGAAGCGGCTTAATACAAGTATAAAATTTAAGAACCATTTGGTCATTGACATATTCTATTTATAAGCCATTTTCATGCTAAAGATTTTTATATATTTTTATTTATATTAAGTTTGTGCAAAGTAAGTAACATGCAGAAGGAAGCATCTCCGACCCCATAAAGTATATATATTCTGAATTAGCATGACGAGAGAAATCGATCTAGACATGTCCGTCCGTCTGGATGAACGCAAGGATCTCAGAAACTATAAGAGCTAGAGACACCAAATTTTGCACAAAGATGCCTTATGTTTTTTTGATTCCCCCCCCCCCCCCCCCCCACTTCCCTACGGGGGTTTTCCTAATTTTCCATTCGTATTATCGCTTATATATCGGAGACTATAAGACCTAGGGACACAAAATTTTAGTCCCAGATGCCTTATGTGAATGTATATAAGACCAAGTAGTGCCTGCAGCTGTTGTTGTTGTTACTACTTTGCTCAGGCAGACGAGACATACACAGACAAACACATAAATACACACATACACGCATAATTATTCTACACATATGTACAGAGTATTTCAAAGTCAGAATTCAAGGAATTCAAGGCAAATTTCTTCCCAGTGCTGATTACATCGATAGAGTCAGTTTCAGTTTTATCAGAAATCCTGAGTATAGAGCGCCTGCTATGTTTTGAAAGCGTAAACTTTTTTTTCTACATTCAGATTAAGCTAGTACTAATTGCATTAGCTGGAACATATTCCAACCACAAAAGTGAGTTAAGCTTCTTCTTTGTTCTCCATTTTAAATATTTTTAGGTTTTCAGGGTTAAAAGATAGCAAATTCTTAATCGTGCTAGACCGAGTTCGTACTAAAAGGGATCGAGGGATAAGTGTACTTTCCACGAAAACTCAGCAATTTCGGTTCTCATTAAATTTCAAGGTCGTAACAAGCTTTAAGATACTCGTATGTAGTATGTACATAGGTATAAATGCTTTGGAGGAACGTTCCGCTTTAAGATGCTTGACTCTGCTCATGCATTTTTCAGCGCGCCTAATTGGTTCAATCAGGTTAAATACAAGTATTTAATTGCGCGCGTCCGATAAAGTATCGTAAAATTGATTTTCACCTCAGAAGACAAGACTGACTTGACTGACTTGAAACCAAAAACGACATTCACGTTCCTCTCTTCAA